TGTTTCCTGATGCAAGGTATGGCGGTGCTGAGAGCTGTGCGGCCGATAGACAAGGCCACCGCCGTGGGTACCAGCATGGCGATAGTGGCACTGCTATCCTTCATACTAGGACATTTAATCTACTTGTTTATTAGTCGTAAGTACCTAACCATGTCTATATGAGAATTTTATAGGTGATTGAGCATTGCGCAGCCAACTGATGCTAGACGGTTAACCAATACCTACGTTCGACACGCGACGTTCATCGCGTTGATTGTCGAACATGTTTATGGGTCCCGGGAGACGTTGATTCGTTGGAAACTAGTCGAGTACCTTCTTCGAGTAACGTGCATAAGCTAATTAATTTTGTTGCATTTAAAAACTCATTCCTATTACTTTATCTCCACAGACATGACATGTGTGTACTCTACAAACGGCGGGTGTCTACTGCACGCGTCCACGATATGGATCGCGGGCGGCGCCAGCACTCTACTGACTGCGCTGTCAGCTGCCGGCAGCTTCATCTCCAGCAAGATGCAACCTGATATGGATGAGCCAACCACTGAATTATGATCAGACACACAATAGGGAATATTTAGAGACAATATAATAAATCTATAGTAGGCAATGCGCACGGAAGTGTCGTTCGGACATAAAAACCAAAGTCACTATAATAAAAATTGTATGGAATAGGAAGGCGAGGCGATAATGGTGCCTAGGCAATGGATGCCGCCCATGGATACCCGCAGCACCAGAGAAGGTATAAATGGGTTATCGGCCTTTTAAGAGATTTGAGTATTGGGGTTGAGGGGGAAGATAGGGGCAATTTAATTTTATGCAGATTTTCTGTGAGGTCGTGGTACCACTGTGTCGCACCGACCCATTCGTGCTGTGTTCTATTTAACGAAGCTAATAAAAAACTATTAGTGTAAATATACATCACATATCATATAGACTTTAAGTATAAATATAGTAATAAATAAATAATAAATAAATATTATAATCTGTACTGTACATATAAGATAGGTAAAATTCCTGCGGGTACAGGAACAACAGGAAATTCTGTAAAGTTTTAACTTAATTAAATAGAACCTAAGGATCTAAACGTTTTTTTATTTTGTTTTTTAAGGTGTAGAAAATGAAACATAATGTTGAATAAATCATAATTATATTTATTACAACAGTTTACCTACATGGGTAATGGCACTAAATCTTACACTAAGACAACTATTATCTAATTGTAC